ATAACTATAAATATAGGTTCACTATGGTGAGTAAAAATACAACTAAACATAACTATAAATATAGGTTCACTATGGTGAGTAAAAATACAACTAAACATAACTATAAATATAGGTTCACTGTGGTGAGTAAAAATACAACTAAACATAACTATAAATATAGGTTCACTGTGGTGAGTAAAAATACAACTAAACATAACTATAAATATAGGTTCACTGTGGTGAGTAAAAATACAACTAAACATAACTATAAATATAGGTTCACTGTGGTGAGTAAAAATACAACTAAACTAACTATAAATATAGGATTCACTGTGGTGAGTAAAAATACAACTAAACATAACTATAAATATAGGTTCACTATGGTGAGTAAAAATACAACTAAACATAACTATAAATATAGGTTCACTGTGGTGAGTAAAAATACAACTAAAACAACATACATATAATTATTCAAGTTATTGTAATTCTTACAAGCTGATATTGTATGCTAATAATTTGTTATCAGGCTACTTAAGCCAAGACTTCTTGACGTTTAACAAGTTCTGTCCACTGAAGATTAAGAAACTAACTGATAAATCACAATGTGATTATTTTATTACCGTTACTTTCTGCTTTTAATAATTATAATACGGTATGTTAAGACTTCTGTAAAAATTACAAGCCATTTTTGCTATCCTTATATTAATTGGGTAAGTGAAAACTAGTGAAAACTGTAGCTATGTTTTAAATATCCTCATGCATCTTCTATTGACTGTATTTACAGAATGTCATCTTCGTCTGAAATGCTTAGCTTCAGTTCATCTCTAGACATTTTAGTAGACAAATACACAAGTTGGAGAAAGAAAAACTAAACACTTTAGCAAGTAAAGAAGTTTAAAATATAAATATACTCATTTTTGACAGTTATTATCTGTTTACTTACAATAATTTGCCGACAAGTTCTTAAAATTGAGTTTAGAATTAAGACTCGACATAGACAGAGTTAAGTGAAGTCTAATTAGCTTTATTTCTTAAAAAGACAAATAAATAAAAGTTGAAATGACAAAATCTTTAAACTTAAATTATTAAGTTCTAATAGTTTTAACATCATTAAAAAGTAACACAAAAGATAAAGATAGTGCTCTTAATATGTATATAATTTTATGATATGAACAAAATATATACACCTTCTCTTCTGACGGTACAGCCAGTCTATCACTTGCTATAAGCTTACAGACATGTGTTGGAGACAGAGCTAGGAATTCTTCACTTTCAACTACCTCCCTAAACAAGAAAGAAAAACTTAAAATAATCATCCACTGAAGAAACCTCATATTCTTCTCTTTTTTTCACCAAAAATACAAACATTAAACATTTCTATCTTATAATCAATTTCAAATTACAATATTTAGTTTATATTTTCTATTCACAAAACTTGTATTAAAACATTGGTAATATTTAAAAATGCCAAAAACTGAAATATACCATAAAAATAGTAACATATGAAACTTGTATTAAAATTTGGAATCTCTGTATCTTAATACATACAGAGAAAAGATGTTAATTCTTTATTATAAAAATTTCACATACACCATAATAAACATTTCTTAGTATTCAACTTAACTAAAACAAACTGAACAACTGGAGAATTATCCCATATACATTAATAGTTTGAAAGAATATTCACAGACGATATTAGTGGAGTTTGATAATCAACTGAACATTGGGTGTATTAATTGATTGTTCTCACACAGGAATTAACTAGTTGGAATAATAAAAGATAGTAATAACTGGATTAGTTGTTTATTGTTACAAGTAGTGAAACTAACTGACTGAGCTGAACAACCTTGAATTAATCAAAAATAATAATGATGAGTCGTAATGACAATAATCAAACTACATCAATAGTAGGAATAATCAAACTACATCGATAGTAGGAATAATCAAACTACATCGATAGTAGGAATAATCAAACTACTTCGATAGTAGGAATAATCAAACTACATCGATAGTAGGAATAATCAAACTACTTCCATAATAGGAATAATCAAACTACTTCGATAGTAGGAATAATCAAACTACATCAATAGTAGGAATAATCAAACTACATCGATAGTAGGAATAATCAAACTACTTCGATAGTAGGAATAATCAAACTACTTCGATAGTAGGAATAATGAAACTACTTCGATAGTAGGAATAATCAAACTACTTCGAAGTAGGAATAATCAAACTACATCGATAGTTGGAATAATCAAACTACATCGATAGTAGGAATAATCAAACTACTTCGATAGTAGGAATAATCAAACTACTTCCTACTATCGAAGTAGTTTGATTATTCCTACTATTGAAGTAGTTTGATTATTCCTACTATCGATGTAGTTTGATTATTCCTACTATTGAAACTTCAATGAATGAATTAATCAAAATAACAATTAAATCGATTAATGTCACAAAAATAATAAATTAATTGGAATTATTATTTCTAGTTATTTCTGTTTTTGATTATTCCTACTATCGATGTAGTTTGATTATTCCTACTATCGATGTAGTTTGATTAGGACACTAATCAAGTTGTTAACTTTCTTTAAGTTTCATTAATTCATTCATTGAAGCGACACTAATCAAGTTGTTAACTTTCTTTAAGTTTCATTAATTCATTCATTAAAGCGACACTAACCAAGTTGTTAACTTTCTTTAAGTTTCATTAATTTATTCATTGAAGCGAAACTAATCAAGTTGTTAACTTTCTTTAAGTTTCATTAATTTATTCATTGAAGCGACACTAATCAAGTTGTTAACTTTCTTTAAGTTTCATTAATTCATTCATTGAAGTGGCACTAATCAAGTTGTTAACTTCCTTGTCTGTCATTCAATTTCCTTTTGCATATTGAATCTTGAAAATTAAACTACTTTGATACACATGACTTAGTGACCACCTGTTACCATCTCTTAACATAAAATAGAAAGTTTTTAGGTGATTTAAACATTGAAATGCACTTAAGAGAAAAAAATAAGATGCATAACGTGTGAGAAAAAAGCAGTAAATATTATCAGCCTTAAGAAGTCATTTAACTAAAAACATTCTCTTATCATAAGTTGAACAAAGCTACTCAAGGGCTATAATTAACTGAACAAAGCTACTCAAGGGCTATAATTAACTGAACAAAGCTACTCAAGGGCTATAATTAACTGAACAAAGCTACTC